CTGTTGTCTTTTTTCTTGCAAGATATACTTTGCCAAAGGCGCCTCGACTCTAACCATACCAATTTCCGAAAGAGATTGCTTCATGTGGTATGTTTTATTCTTGTCCTTATATCAATGTAGGTTTTCACCGATTAATCATAAATATCTTTATGAATCCTTTAGGTTGAAGAAAAGCATGAGACACTACGTGCATATTTTCAGAGATTACGGTCAATTAACGCAAATTCAAGTGCCGGGATTGCGACTTCTACTGTTGCAGCAGCAGTAGCAGCAGCAGCCAGTATTGCTACAACATCAGCAATTGAAACTGCAGCATTGCAAATACCTCAAAAAATAGGTAGAAAACAATCAATATCGAGTCGGATATTATCGACTTCTGCATCAAATAAAGCATCAACGAGCTTTTTATCAAAATCGAGCTCTTATCGTCATAAGGATACTGTACCTTCGCATAAACGACAAGATAGCACTGGTTCTGTATCATATAGTAAACCTCTTTGGTAAGATTTCTTATCATCATTATTCGTTTCTCGCTCTTCTTTTATGAACGCCAAGCTACTTTTCTCAGGAATTGAAATCCTGGACAAACCAAAATCAGTAAGTTTTATATGTCCTTCGGATGTAATAAGCATGTTATCAGGTTTCAGGTCCCTATGAGTTATGCCATTGCTGTGAAGATATTCGAGCGCTAATACAACTTCCGCTGTATACATACGCGCCATATCCTCTTCAAAGCGTTCGAAACATTGAAGAAGGGACGATAAGTCACCCCCCGATTAGATATTCCATTACCTGGAAGAAAAAAAAAAACTTTCAGAATACATTCGGCGTATATATGACGGAATTCAATAATTTACTTATCGATGACTCTTACTAAATATAGGTAATCCTGGCTTTGAAACGCATAAAATAGTTTAACTACGAATGGAGTTCTTGATAGGCTAAGAACTCTTCTTTCCGCTAGTACATGATTTACCATATTTTTGCGCACCATATCTACCTTCTTTAAGATTTTTATGGCATAAAGATCACCTGT